GATACCGAGTCCGGGAATTTTCCAAGTTCCGGGCAAACAAGAGGGTGGATGATTTCACTAAGAACTCTTAGTTACAGATTTTATCTGCTTAGCAAGACTAGCAAACACATTTTAGCCATTAGACATAACACAGTCTAAGGGAATACATAAATTTTGAATCATACAGTCCCACAATGTCAAGCACTACTCTACAAGTAGGGGAAGAATGCTGATCACATCTAGCAAGCTCCCTGTCCTCAAGGAGTTTCCTTTCTAGTAGGGAAAAACACCACAACATAAACCCACAAAGCAAGTGAACTATACAATTTCAGACAGGGTCAAATTCAAGAAGAAAAAGAACAAAGCACAGTAACTTAGAGAATGAGGATTTGTCTACATTAAGAATGCTTTTACATCTTCTCACCACCTCTGCCAGCAGCAATTCAACTAACTCAGTACTGAATTACTTAGTTTCCTGGTATCTCTACTACTCTTAAAAGTCTCTTTCATTTGCATCTCTTAGCCACCCCCACTTTTACTCATCCACAAAAAAGACTATATTGAATTTTTGTTTTTTTGTTTTTTAGTTTGGTTTTTGTCTCATTTTGTTTTGTTGGTAGTGTCAGAGATGGAACCCAGGGCTTTTGTACTGAGCCATACCCCCAGCACTTTTTTATTTTTAATTTTGAGACAGGGTCTCACTGAGTCACTAAGTTGCCCAGGCTGGCCTCAAGGTTGTTACCTTTCTGCCTCAGCCTCCCAGAAGGCTTGGATTATAGGTGTGCACCACCACGCCCCACTAGCACACTGATTCTAACCCAGCTTTTTCAAGAAAAACCACTAATGAGACCACAAGTCTATCTGCCCTCCTCTACCTAGCCTCGGGTGTCTCATCCTCCATAGCTCGCTGTGCAAGTAGAAGGGACTTACAGTTGGGGACAGTCTTCCACTGTCTCTCCACCCCACTGACTCACCAGCGTCTCTCAATACTTGGGCGAAAACATCTTTGTACCCTTTGCTAAAAAGAAAGAGACTGGATACAGTCTGTGAGGATGAAAATCACCAGAAACACCATTTTTGCTTGTAAGAGACAGTTACATAGTCTTACAACTACAGAGCAAGATTTTAAAATTTCAAGTTACAGAGTTATACAAACATTTCTGTTTTGGAAATACTAATCTGTTATTTCAAATACCATTTACCTCTGGCCATCAATAGAACTCTGGATCCTATTATAATATGGAGTTTATAATTAAAATGTATATGTTCACAAAACAAAATAGTTAATTATCTCAATTATCACAAGGGTGAAATGTGACTGTGTACAGTGACAAAGTAAGGCACACTTTGTTTCTTTAAAACTTAAAATCAAACCTTAAAAACTCAAAATTTATCATTTTAACATTATATAAAGATTGTGAAAGTCAGTTTACATCACCCCAATTAACTGATACTCTTTCTAACCAGAATTCAAATTATTCCTCTCAACCATTCCCAGAAATGTAAAAAGGGTAACTCCAGGCCTCCTCCTCTCAACAGCATTTAAGAAGCACATAGCAAAGGCCAAGATTTAGCTCAGTGGCACTGTGCCTGCCTTGCAAGCGCAAGATCCCCAGTAACACACACACACACACACACACACACACACACACACACACACACACAAAAAGAACAAAACAGCACATGGCACAATGGTACATCCAATGTTAAGACTCAATTGTCAACTCATATATAGATGTGGCCCAGCCAACATACCCTAATCCTAGCACCTGACAAAAACCCTCCATCACAGATCATCTGATTAAGTGGAAAACTACTATGGGAATAGCTTGATAAGCAGGTGAGAAATATAGTCACTCACTTTAAGGAGGCCTGAGGCATAGAAAGCTAAGAAAGAAAAATCTCAAATATGAAGAAATAACTTAGAAATAAATCCAAGAAGAGGAAATCCCTCATTAAGTTTTGTGAAACATTCAACAAATAATGTATCATGTACTAGGCAAACATATTAGAAATATTTCACCAACAATTTAAAAGTATAAGTGATATTGTATGTTTAAATCATAATAAGTAAAATTTAATTTCACATACCTGCGAAAATAATCTTGGCTTTGTATTTTGGAATGCCCTTCACAGTATAGCCCCACCGACGAGCAAGTTTACAGCCAGTCTCTCCAGCCTCCACTCCTGGGGGGGTGGGGGGGGTCATATTTAAATAGTGCTTTAAAATATCAGAAAACAAGATTACTGCCTTACCTTGGGTATTTAACAATGAAAAGAAAATGCTTTACCTGTGTTCATAGGAAGAACTTTGTGGTACTTGAAAAGTTTAGTAATGTACTCCTCGTATTCACCCAGGACATCATTATAGAAAGCCCGAGACGTTAAGGTCAACTTGTCCACCTGAGTCTTCAGAGCATTCACAATCTTGGGGTGACAGTGCCCTTGGCTAACAGCACTGTAAGCACTTAGGAAGTCAAAATATTTTCTGCCTTCTACATCCCACACATAAATGCCTACAACATAGGAAGGAAAATAATTTTAGAAAATTACTGTATGGCATAAAATTCAAAGACTAAAACTGCTGGCAAGCCCTTTGAATACCTCCATATAAAACTCTATTTTTTTATGGTTAAGTTTGTTTTAGCTCAAGCATAATAAAGTTTGGTTTATAGGAATTATTAAGGATATATTTTCTGTCTAGCTCCAAAATATGCATTTAAAGAGGAGCATGAGGGCCAGGGATTTAGCTCAGTGGTTTCGCCGCCTGCTGTGCAAGCGCAAGGACCTGAGTTCAATCCCTGGTACCAAAAAAAAAAAAAGATTAGTGTCAAAGAGGAGGATGAGGGCTGGGGATTTAGCGCAGTGGCACCGTGCCTGGCTCTCAAGCACAAGGTCCTGAGTTCGATCCCTGGTCCCAAAAGAAAAGAGCCTGAAAAGTTTATAAATTCTGTTTTGTTTTGTTTTGTTTGGGTACCAGGGATCGAACTTGGGTCCTTGCGCTTGCAAAGCAGGCACCAGAACCACTGAGCTAAATCCCCAGCCCATGTTTCTAAATTCTGGAGTGATACCTCCACCTAATTTGTCCCACAGTACTGGGGATTGAACTCAGGGCCTTCACACTGAGCTACATCACCAGCCTGTTTTGTTTTGCATTTTGAGACCGGGTTACACTAAATCACCCATACTGGATTCAAACTTGTGAACCTCTTGCCTCAGCCTCCAGTGTGCTGAGATTTCAGGTGTGCACCATCACATCCAGCTCCCTTCACCTAATTTTAACATTTAGGAGCCAAAATCAGAATTCAAAAGTAAAGAAGTTACATACAACAAACAAAAATCATGAAAAGTAGACTATTACAACCCACAGAATGGGAATATTTATAAATCTTGTACCTGATAAGGATCTAGGAGGTGTGATCAAAAAATATGGTGAATGTTTTAAACATTTGTTAAGATTTATTGCAGTAAAGGATACATTGCCACTAATCCCCTCTAAACTACTTCCTCTCACTTTAGACATGCTTATCCCATCATTCTCGCCCTTTTCTGAAGCAGTTCTGGAAGTCCTCTCTTGTGAATGTCTTTAGTTATGCTGTCATGGTTGCCTTGATGCCCTGAATCAATTCAAAACATTTTATTTTCATGGTCATTTTCCTTTTAGGAAAGAGCCAGAAGTTGCAAAGTGCCAGATCTGGTGAATAAGGTAGATGAGGACACATCACAATATTTTTATCACCCTGCCTTTCCACTGAATGGCATTCAGCAGCAGCATTCACTGTATTTTTGGATTGGGTTTTTTTTTTAGATTTTTGTTTTGTTTTGTTTTTTGAGACAAGGTCTTGCTATGTAGCTCAGGGTGGCCTTGAACTCACGGCAATCCTCCTAAATTCTGGGATTACAGGGATGCACCACCACCATGCCCAGCTACAGGATTTTTGAACACATTTGTAAAGACAAAAGACGACATCCAAAATTGCTTCAGAAAGTGGCAAGAATGATGGGATAAGTATGCTTAAAGCCAAGGGGAGTATTTTGTTTTGTTTCGTTTTGTTTTTTTGGTACTTGGGATCGAACTTGGGAGCTTATGCTTGCAAAGCAGGCAGCGGAACCACTAAGCTAAATCCCCGGCCCCAAGGGGAGTATTTTTGAGTGGAATAAATGACAGTGTCTTTTACTGCAATCAATATTTTAAATTTTTATTTATATTTACTGTATATTTTGATACCCTTCTTGTAGAATTCAGTAACAAAAAGACATTTAAAAATGAGCAAACACCTGCTGCGCAAGCGCAAGGACCCGAGTTCGATCCCCGGTACCAAAAAAAAAATGAGCAAACAGGGCTGGAGATTTAGCTCAGTGGCACCATGCCTGCCTCGCAACCACAAGGTCCTGAGTTCGGTCCCCAGTACCAACAAAGCAAAAAAAAACAAAAAGAAATGAGCAAACAACTCCAGCAGCTATCTCTCCAAAGACATATAAATGGCTAACAAGCATATGAAAATACGCTCAACCCAATAGTCATCAGGCAAAGGCAAATCAAAACCACAATGAGATACCATTTCACATTCACTAAAATGGTTATAATTTTTAGAAAAGGAAAACAATTTCAGGCAAAGATGTGAAAAATCTGGAGATTTCATATACTGCCAGTAGAAATATAAAATGAAATGATACTAGCACTATGAAAATGTCTGGCAGTTCCTCAAGGAGTCAAGCAATTCCACTCCTAGTATATACCCGAATGAACTAGAAGACAGGTGTTCAAATGTGAACCTGTATGGTATTCATAGCAACCCTATTCACAAGAGCCAAGAGGCAGAAACAACTCAAAAGTCACCAATTGATGAACAGTAAACAAAAGGTGGTATATCCATAGTCAAATATTATTCGGCCAATAAAAAGGAATGAAAGTGTAAAAAAAAATTTAGAGTGAAATTCTTTTAAGTGAAATGCTACAACATGGATGAATGAACCTGGAAAATATTAGGCTAAGTGAAAGAAACCCCAACCCTAACCCAGGGCCTCACACATGCTAGGCAAGCATTTTACCACTGAACAACATCCCTGCCCCTAAAATGGTGGATTTTATGTTACTTGTACTTTTTTTTTTAATGGTACTGGAGATCGAACTCTACTTTGCACTTGCAAAGCAGGCAGCAGCACCACTGAGCTAAATCCCCAGCCCTGTTAAACTTGTATTTTTATTAACAATTTTTTTTAAAAAATTGACTACAAATAGTGGGATGTATTCAAGGGCTTGTTAATACCTTTTACCATGCACCACACCATGTTATGTGTTTTCACACCTTAGCTCATCAAAAAACCCCTTATCAGGCTGGGGATTTAGCTCAGCGGTTTCGCCGCTTGCCTCACAAGCGCAAGGACCCGAGTTCAATCCCTGGTACCAAAAAAAAAAACCCCTTATAGGTGTTACCATCACTGCTACACAGAGCTAAGGAAATGGATGCTTATGTTAATAACTACACTGGGCTGGCACACAGGGAACAAGAAGTTCAACCCAGGCAGCCAGACTCCCAGAGTCCAAACTCTGCTAGAGTAGTTGAAGAATATTTTCATCAAACAAATTGTTTCTTAATCTGTGATACACAAATCTAGATTTTCAACTGCTCAAAAGAAGGTATGTCTATATTACAGTAGTGGTCCAAATAACACAGGCAATGACAAAAATGATTGTACTTTTATACAGTCATCTTCTGACTTAAAGCCAGCTAACTAACTTTGGTCTACTTTGTTAAGGCTGTTATCTCAAAATGCAGATTAAGGGCCGGGGATTTAGCTCAGTGGTTCCACTGCCTGCCTCTCAAGCCAAGGACCCGAGTTGGATCCCCGGTACTAAAAAAAAAAAAAAAAATGCAGATTAAATCACCATTTAGCAACTATCATTGTAATAATTTATTTGAGGGCCAGGGATTTAGCTCAGTGGTTCTGTCGCTTGCCTTGCAAGTGCAAGGACCTGAGTTCGATCCCTGGTACCAAAATAATAATAATAATAATAATTTATTTGAGCAAGAATCAATGGATGAGTAAAAATCTCATGAATATCAGGATATATATGCAAAGGCTCAAATCCCCACAATATACTTCATACACAGGGAAAAATATAACTTTACAGTGGAGTAGCTTGGCAGACACCACCTTGCCAAGTGATGGAAATCAACACTAGCAGTCACAGATGAATGGACACATCTCCTGCTTGATGCACTAGAAGGGCCCAACATCCTTGCACAAAGGTGCCTAACTTGACTGTGATCACGAGCAAACACCAGTCCAAACTGAAGCCCAAACTGAAGTACATCACAAAAACACTGGCCAGTGTACTTCAAAAATATCAAAGTAAAGATAAAAACTAAGGAATTGCTCTGGATTAGACAACTAAATCTAACAACTGGATGACTCACGATCTACAGTCCTCTTGTTATAAAGGACAATACATTAAATCTAGATTAGATCTAAAGATTAAGTAATAGTGCTATACTGGTGCTAATTTCTTGATTTTGATAATTACATGTAGTTATAAAAGAAAGTCTTCATGTCTTAGGAAAGATACACTAAGTATTTAGGGGCAAAGAGGTGTCACATCTGGAACTTCCTAATGGTTCAGAAAAAAAAATGTATAGTATGTGGGTGTGGGAAGGGAGAGGTGAGAACATTACAAAAGTGGTAAAATGTCAGCAATTAAGAAATCTGGAAAAAGAATAAAAGAAAAATGTTAGCACAATTGTCACAACTTTTCTTCTTCTGTTTTGTTTTTTGGGGGGGGCCAGTACCAGGGATAGAATTCAGGACCTTGCGTTTGCCAGGCAGGTGCAGTGTCACTGAGCTACATCCCTAGCCCAAATTTTCTTCTATCTAAAATTATACGGAAATAAAGGCTAACAGAAAAAAATGACAGCAATATTACGGTACTTTCCATATTTCTCCTGCATTTCCTGTTGGTGAGGCCCCCCATGACAAAGACTAATCGATCATCTCCGTGGCCACATAGCACATAGTGATGGAGCTGCAGCAGACTCACAGACAGGCTACACGAACCCTATCTGCAAATCATCTGCATCTGGGGAAAGGGACACTGAAAAAGTGCAAAAGCAATTCATTTCTTTGTTTGCTTTGGTTTTTTTCGTTCTGGGGATTGAACTCCGGACCCTGCACTTGCAAAACAGGTGGCGGAACCACTGAGCTAAATACCTGGCCCCTAGTAATTCATTTTTATAAAAAAATTTCAAGCAAAAGGGTGTGGGAGCTAATTTGAAACATACCTTTTCCTCTCTCTAAAGCCACAGGTAAAGGATGGTAATTGTGTGCACCATATTTAGCTTCCCGTTCAAAAATGTAATCAGAGGATGGAGGGCCTTGGACTGTCTTCTTAGTTGCAACAGATGTGGCACAAGTCACTGAAGAATGAACTCCACGACGAAGCACAGCAAGGGTCTGCAAATGTGCTAGTTTGGAAAACATTGTGTCCTTGAAACAAAAAATCACAGGCCTGTCCAAAGAAAAGAGAAGGCATTAAAAGTAAGGCCCTTTCCAGAGTCAACGCATGTCTGCTCCCAAAGCATCTGGGGAGCAACTACCACAATCAGTATCAGGCCTTATATCAACAGATGGTGCCCTGTGTAATGCAAAGATCAGAGGCAGGGAAGCAAATCAAAGAAGGATATGGGAGAGTAACCACGGGGTAGGAGGCAGGAGCTGAAAATTACTTTGTCTTCCCCCCCTGAGATGGAGTCTTGCCATGCTGCCCGAGCTGGCCCTCCCTCATAGCTGGGACTACACAGCCATGCCACCACCACCACCCTCACTTCTATTTGGCATTTTGACTCAGTCCTTGGTCCCTTATATGGAAAGTGATGAAACTGAGAAGGAATTTGGGGCTGGAAATACGACTCAGTGGTAAAGCATTTGCCTAGCATGTGGAACAGGAAACCCTGGGTTCAATTCCCAGTACCACAAAAAAAGAAAAGGAAAGGAGGGAGGAAAAAGAAGGGAAGAAGAGAGGGAGGGAAGGAAGGATTTGGGCTCTATAAAGATAGTGGGGATCATTCTCCAAAAAAAAAAAACTACAGCCAGGGATTTCGCTCACAAGAGCAAGGTCCTGAGTTCGATCCCTGGTACTGCAAAAAACAAAACAAAACAAAACAAAAACTAACTTTATGGGAATGGGAAAAGCTTAACACCAACAGAAAGTACAAAAGGTAAATACTGTACTATCATTTAGCCACAATATCTAAAACTTCTATAGGTCAAATTTATAAACCAAGGTGAATGACAAAAAAAAAGGTTAGGGAAAAATAGTTTTTGTAATTTTACCATAATTTGAACCAAAATAATTATATAAATATGAACGATGAAAACAGGCAATTCCCAAAGAAACAATCTACTTCACTAGGATGCTAGCACTTCCTCCTCAAAAAAAAAAAAAAAGTTGTATCAGGAAAAAAACTGTTTAAAAGAGAAAATGGCAATTAGGACCTAGAGAACATTAAACTACAGTTAAGGTAGCTGTACGAATTTCAGTACTAAAACCAGAGGCCACCAAGGAGCACCCATATGTTTATATATTTCAGAGTCCCTCGTTAGTGTTTTATTCACCTTTTATGTCCAGTTTACCATTCGGCATCATGTAAGCCATGAGTAAAGACTAAGCTACAGAAGAAATTAAGAATAAAAAAGAAATGGAAGAATATACATAGAGATCATATCTGGGGGGAAAATGTTTGTAAGATAAATTAAGATTAGGAGAATGTTGATTAAATGTAAGATTAGGAGATTAGGAGAAAGTTGCCAAGAACTATGTCTATATACTTATTTTTAAAAGACTAGCTAATTCATGTTTCAACAGAACTCTATCAATAACAAGTCCAACTATGCATAATCTCACAGCATTCTTGATTTGAGCTGCCAAGTTAGGAAAATACAAGTAAGCTTGGCTTACTTCCCTCTCAACTTGGCACTATCCAGTAAACCCAGTCAGCAATTCACAATTACTAAGCAAAATATAGCACTCTGATCTGCCAAAGACTTACCAACTATTCTTTCCTCCCACAGTTCAGGTTAGAATTGATTTTTTTCACTGGAGATCCAGGGACAACCTTCGGAGGGTCCAGTAACTCTGAAATAAAATGAACTAAATGCAGTAGTATATTTTTCTAAGGAAAATGTCGATAATTTTCACCAGATTTTATCTCAAAGTGGTATGTATCAATAAGCAAAAAGAAGTGACGTAAGAATAATTAAGCCAGAGGAAGTCAAGAGCAAAACTGTCTGACTGTACTAGAGAAACACCCCCAAAATACCTCTGCTAAGTCTGAGACAGACTTTGCAATTTCTTTCTTCTTTATGCTCTATTCAGTATGAATTAACCATATGACCACTAAAAAATTAAACATTAATTTTTGCCTATCAAATTAGCAATAAAAAAATTATCAAAAAAAACCACCACTGTGTCCTCTCAGACATTCTTAATAGTATTCTACAGTGAAACAAGTTTCTGAAGAGCTGTTAGCTATAAAAGCCTTAAAACTGTTTGTACTCTAGCCAATAATTTCACTCCCATGATTTTATTATAAAGAAATACTCATAAATTTATAGTATTTATGCATAAAAGATGTTCAACAATAGTTCAACATAATCATGAAAATAATGCATAGCCATTTAAGGTAAGTTTTTAATGACATGGTGGTAAGTTTTACTCAAGTGAAGAAAATAAAATCATATATGCAGGATGCTCAATTATACAAAAATAAAAGGAAAAACTACAGGAAAGGCTCAATTGTGGCTATTTTGTATCTTCCACAATGACCATGAATTATATATATTTATAATCAGAAACACTGAAAATATAACTGGGTGCCTAGGTAACTAGGACTTGGAGAACATCAAACTACAGTTATATTAGACAAACAAAATTAGAATGCTTTGTTACATTAGACAAAGTTTAGGCAAAAAATAAAACTAAAAGAAAAGGGTTTGATAAGCTTTGAGAGAACACAATGTGGTTAAAATAAAGGTACAGGTTATTACCCCTAAGAAATGCAGGCTTATGATAATTAGGTCCAAAATTCCATCCATTCCCAGGGAATAAAGTCAAATTCTAAAATATCTACATGATGATTTTACTATTAAAGTCTGCAGCTCTGTGACCTCACTAGTAGCAGAAAAAAGGTGGGGCACTTAAAAAGGTATAAAAAGATACTAAAAACACACTGAACAGCGTTTTCTAAGTTAATTAACAGGCTCATAAAAGACTGCAAGTGAAAAGATTCTCTGAGATTATCCCTTTTTATACAATAGTTATGTGCTCAGCTAATTCCCAATGAAAATCCATTTATCTGCTGAGTTCAGGTAGTTTTATTAAGGAGTAATGTTAACAGTGACTTAACAGTAACATTTAAAACATTACTAGTTAGCCAGGGATTTAGCTCAGTGGTTCCGCCGCCTGCCTCACAAGCACAAGGACCAGAGTTCAATCACCGGTAACAAAAACAAAACAAGAAAGTGTTTTTAGGGGCTGGGGATTTAGCTCAGTGGTTCTACCGCCTGTCTTGCAAGCGCAAGGTCCCGAGTTCAATCCCTGGTACCAAAAAAAAAAAAAAAAACATTACTAGTTCTCATTCTCCAAGGTCTTAAATATAAACTTTAGCTATTTAATTCAACTGTGAAAGGTCACAAGTTCCATGCTCCATGATGTTCCAAGATCCTGTAAACAGATTTCTATTAAAGAGCCTTCTGTGTTCAGGTTACTGTGCTTGGCATTATATGAGAAATATTAGAACAGAATAAAAAATAGCTTAAAAATAGCTAACATCAATAATCTCTTCCAAATAGCTTTGGAAAATCAGAAGAATAGAATGAGAAAGTTCAATGACAAAGATTTAAATTCTGCCCATGGTTCTTCTGAGTATATCTGGATGATTTAATCTTTCTACACCTTAATTTCCCCATTTATAAAACTAGGGTGAAGCCATTCAAGGGCATTCCTAAGGATTAGGAGTTCCTATAAAGGCGTAAGTCTAATTAGTACAAAATGGCATTCGTTTTATTCCCTCTGCTCTTAAATTCTCAAGAGAACTAGTCAACTTCTGCAATATAAAAATAGTGCCATGGTTTCTTTTTAAAACTGAATATTTTTTCTTAAAATACAATTTTTATTAAAAAAAATAAAAAGCAAGCATGAAAACTAAGTGTAATTCCATACTTAAGAAGTAACTATTAACTTTTTTCCTAAGCATAAATACATACATATTAACTTTTTTTTCACCCTCTCCTATGTCATCTTGCCCAGGTGGGGTATTCTTTGTTAAAAGAATGAAGTCCTGGGCTGGGGATTTAGCTCAGTGGCACCGCGCCTGCCTTGCAAGCTCAAGGACCTGAGTTTGATCCCTGGTACCAAAAAAAACCCAAAAACAAAAACAAAAGAATGAGGTCCTTCCTAAATACACGGAAAGCAATGAGACCAAAGGAAAATATTAAGTCACTTATCCCTAGCCAACTGGATCTAACTAATCAAAGAGGAAGCTATCACATTCTCTGACCTTATCTGGAAAAACAAATCTTTTCAAGGGGTCACTTTATTAGCTCTACCAGCCTGAAAAGGTCAAAATAATATGTTTTAAGCTGTAGTCATGCATTTAACAGGTACTCAGCTCCCGGAAATCAGAACAAATTGCTACAGACAATCTAAGCACTTTTAACACTAAATGTTTTAAATAATCCACATAATTAATACTCCTTCAGGCTCCCATTACTCCCTCCCCCATCACCCCAACAGAGCTACATTAGAACATTTCTAAAAACAATTTCCATAAAAGCTGTATTTAGAAGAGCTAAGTTAGCCTGCAACGTTAAACACTATTTTCTTAACTCTAAAATAAGTGTATAAAGTCATCAAAAAGTCATTGGAAATACTCAACTTGAGGAGTAAACTTGGTTTTACTATTATCAAATATTTACTTTTCTTGACGTAACCAACCATTCACCAATACTATGAGTTTTTCGTAAATTCTGCCAACAAAAGTTCCCTGCCCCGGGCTGGGGATTTAGCTCAGTAGTTCCGCCACCTTCCTCGAAAGTGCCAGGTCCGGAGTTCGATCCCCAGTACCAAACAAAAGCTTTTTTTTCTTTATCTAATTAAAATTCTGGGGCCAGGGATTTAGCTCAGTGGTTTCACTGCCTGCTGCACAAGCGCAAGGACCCGAGTTCGATCCCTGGTACCAAAAAAAATTTTTTTAAATAAAATTCTGACTAAAATTCAACTCAAGTGTATCACTGACAAAGCATTGCTACTGAAAAAGGACTAGGTCAATGATACCACACCCTCCACACAACTCCAAAATTCTGCTCATTCATTACTATTTCAGTGTGTGAGATTTGGTTCATCCTCTAGAACTCAGTAAAGGGGATAATATATGCACACAAATAACTGTACCAGTGGCAAAACATCTAAGACAGCCTCTTCGAGGAAAAAAAAATTCATTAAGAATCTTAATTATTTAAAGTTATACTGGGGCCGGGGATTTAGCTCAGTGGTTCCAGCACCTGCCTCGAAAGCACAAGGTCCCAAGTTCGATCCCTGGTACCAAAACAAATAAAGTTATACTGGGGGTTTTTGAGGGGGAGTGGAGAACTAATCATACACACTGAAAAACTGTAAGCTGTAATTTAAATCTTTTTATTAATTGATACTACTTGCACCTTTTTTCCTAGTCAAGAACTAGATTCTCTAAAAACAGAACCAGGAACACACGCACACGCACACACACACACACTCCGATAGTCTTATGAAAGGAACTCACGAGATAGTCCCACATTTCAGGAAGATAAGATAAAGACTGGATTTAAAGAACAGGTGCAGGATGAAAAGCAAGAACTAGTTTACCTGCAGAAACTCCCAGAAGAGATTCAGAACAGAGGAAGTGGAGTTTAGTAAAATAAAAAGTCCACTCCAAAGTCACTCTTTTTTCCCCCTTAATTTATCACCTTAACTTATCTAAATGGTAAAGCTCAACACCAAAGGCAAAATATAGTGCGACAAAGGGAGGGGGCCATGGTTCCACTGCATTCAGTTAGAATTTACTGATGCTCAGCAACATTTGCAGAGGGAACCCTAAGGATGAAATAGGTATTCATGCTAAAGTTCGGTTCATTCCCTTCACATCATCTAATTAACGTGCGTGTAAATGCAAAGTAACGATCTATTTCTGAAATTCTTTCGTGTGGACAAAGAATAGAGGGGATCAAAGAATTAAAAGAATCATACCAGAGTGATATATGTGCACCCATGTTCATAGCAGCACAGTTTGTAATAGCTAAAACTTGGAAGCAGCCCAATTGCCCATCAACTAGAGACTGGATAAAGAAAATGTGGTTTTTTTATAACATGGAGTACTACTCAGCTATAAAAAACGAGAAATTACATTTATAGCTAAATGGATGCACATTGAGGCCATACTCTTAAGTAAAATAAATAGGACACACATGTGTAAATAGCGAAAACCTGAGAAACTGAAAGTGTAAATAAGGACCAAAAGGTATAATAGATAATGTGAAATAGGAAGAAAAGGGGCAAAGGGGAAGAAGAAGTGAGAGGGGTAGGGGAAAGGAAAGAAGGGAATGGAATTAATATGAGAAAATGGAAACAAAGTCTTAGTAAATAGAGGGATGGAGGGGTTGATGGGAGGGGAAGAGAGAAAAATAAGAACCAAGAGAGATTATGTAAAGGTGCAAATTTCCAATGATGAATGTCATTATATTGTATACCTAAAATGTACCAATAAAAGGATATACAGTTTTTTAAAAAATCATTTAAAAAAAAAACAAATCTAAGAATGGAGGGGGTAGGAGTTGGGAGAGGGGAAGGACGGGCAGGGTTGGCTGCGAGGCCCAGAAACCTGCCCCGGAGGACTTGGTACAACTGTCCGCGCCAGCCACCCCGCCTGCTACCAGTCACCGTTGACTGCGAGGTTCCCCTGTAACAACAAAGCATCCTCCTCTCCGACCTGGGGAACGAGGGGTGCCCGCTGTGCCCAGCAACCCCAATGCCTCTCTCCCGGAAACCCCGAGGCCTGAGGCTTCGGCCCTTGGCAGAGTCCACAGGAAAAGCCGAGACCCGGCCCTCGCGGGCTGCGAGCCAGTAGTCGGCGGCTCCGCCCGATCTGGCGGGCGGCGTTGCCACATCCACAGCCTCTCCCTGCCTCCTCGCCGCCCGCCGCTCCGAGTCAAGGATGGGCCGCTACCCTGCCGACAAGAGCCGGGGGCAAGCCGACCGCCTCCCAGAACCCTCTTCAGCCAGCGGCCGCACGCCCCATCCCTCAGAGCCCAGTGTTGCAGGGCCGGCGCGGTACCTAACTGCAAACAGGAGACCCTTCGGTAAAGGTGGCGACCCGCTGAACAGAGCTGCGCGGCGCGTCACAAAGCTTAAGAAGCAGTGTGCGCCCCGCCCCAGGACGTACTCGTCGCCCATTGGTTGAGGGAAGGCCGGGCACCAATCGCATGGACCCATACCCGCCCCACCCACTCCTCTGTGCGCGGCGGAACGGTCCTCCCCGAGCCGGCTCTAGGGGTGCCAGCGCCTCCAAGGCGCGACTGTGCTAGGCTGTTGTGCTCGCTCTACGAACGCTAGGAGTCACTGCCCAGCCTTTACTGTCCAGAAGACGAGGTCTGAAAGTATGAAAAGTCTCTTGACCTCCACCGGCCCGCTGCGTTTCCCTAGCAGAGGAACCTGGAGCTGTACGGCAGGCTTGAACTCCTGCCCTGAGCTCCTGGCCCTCCTCCACTTCTTTACCTCTCAGAGCCTTATCCGGACACCTACACTAGCACCACCCCAGAAGCCAGGGCCTCATGTCCTTGAACCCTGATGGGCTGCATGAATTAGTTCCAATTTGTAATCCACTTCCAGAATCCTTGCTGCCCCTGAAAAATACACTGCCCACCTGTTCGTGGCTGCTGTTAGATACTTACATGAGGGCGGCACAGTCAGAGTACTAACAAGCCTGCAGTGCCCTCCACAATGGGTATAAAACTCAAAACTCAAAATGGATATTCTGGAATGAACTCGTGTTCGAATCAGGAGGAATTTGGACATCCTTTAGTCTGCAACACCTGTTCCATACTAGAAGAGACCCAAAGACAGAAAGTAACTTACTCAGTTATCCAACAGGGGATTGGGCAATCTGGTCCACTGTGCCACGCACCACTCTATGAAGCAGGTAGCTGGCCACTGCAGCAAGCAGAGGACTACACGTCAATGCTACAGTTCCACTGGCCCACAGTGGTTAGGATTTCACCCAGGAACAGATGACACATTGCAGTTAGGAAATTTATGTGTGGGGTGCCAAAGTAAACCGCAGAGATGAAGAAGTAACCTGGGGCTAGTACAACAGGGAGGCCCATTGTCAACCCAAGGCTTCAAGTCTAGAAGCAGGATTTCCAGGATCCAAAAAACAGAGAGTAAGGAGAAACTTCCTGCCTGGGCAAATGTTATTAGTGATCCCACTGGAGGGAGCTGGGTTCTAAGCATCCCAACCTCCCCTCTCCTGCTAGGTTTCTGCAGGGGCTGAAGTCGTTGGGCCACAGGCCTAAGGAGCCCTTTAAGTCACTCCCTACTGGTGACACCTGAGGACACAGCATGGTGGGAAAGAGGGTAGAGGAAAAATTAGAAGACAAGCAGCACGCATAACTCACTAAGACTTTGCTGAACAGAAAGTAAAGCCATATTATCTGGAAGATGCAGGGAAATGGAGTGTTCAGAGGCAAGGCTATGTATGAGCAGACCAGCCAACATTTGCCAGTGTAGAGCAAGACACCAAAAGAGATTTCATCATCCAGAGCTTGATCTGTTGTGTACCAAGTTCACTTACTCAGATTGTTATAGCTATTCTTTCTCTGGAACTTATCAAGAACAGAACTTTGCTTTTTATTTCTTTGAAATCCCTTCACACCACCCAATATGGTATGATTGACTCTCCGGCAGTTAGGTGATTTTGCCCCCGGGGTCAGAAGGGAATCTGGTCTCCATTGTCCTGCTCTGCAAACCTGGGAAAATGTGGAAGGCCAAGTTTGGCTTTTGGAACTCTTTCAGAAACACTCCTCAGTTATAACTTGGCAAGTAGGAGCAGGTGAGTTCAAGAAAGGGGCAAGTATAACAACAAAATATGTTGCAATGCCGTTGGATTTACAGATCAGATACTCTTTAATGCAAAATTTTCACATGCAAGCAACTGTTGAGAGTGTCTGGGTTTTTATCTTATTCCTTTATCAGAAAAAGGCAATGGGTACAAAGAGCATGATGATATTTTATCCACTAGCAGTTGTTTTTTCACTTAATATGGCCTATAAAGAACAACTTGGACTTACTTTAAAGTTGCTTTTTTTTCCAGCTAAGAAATCAAACTGCTCTATTTGTATGTGTTGATTTTATTCAATCTAGAAATATGTAAGAACAGCATATATTACAAAGATTTTTAAGCCTTTGAAACTATTAATAGATTGGAATAATTAACTCCACCATAAAATCTGGAGGTATAAAGATTGACCCTCATAGCAGATATACAAGACCAAGGTTAATTTCATCAGATCGTTGGACAAATGTCCTTTGAATGTATTAGGTGCCTTGCCCTGTAAAAGAGCTGCACATCAGGCTAGACCACATGAGGTTAGTAAGGAGAGAAAAAGACAGTCAGCAAAAGTTCCTTCAATGAGTATGAATGAAAATCTTGCAACTTTGATCATCTAAAAAGCTGCAACCAAATATAAAGGAAAAGAATACAGACAACCCTCAATTATTTAATGACCACAAAAACAATTTATATGTTAAGCATACTTCTTGCTTTTCATTACTTCTTTCATTGTCCAACTTGTTATTACTTATAATTAGTTTAGACTATGTACACTTGGACTTGAAAATTTAATCATTTGGAAAATCCATGTCAATAGCTGGGGAAGAAACCTGATCATCAGCCTCAAAAAATTAAGTTTTGGTGGTTTTTACACAGCAGAATAAAAAAGGTTTTGTAAAGTGTGTGCACCCTAAAAAGATATCTTTCTGGCCAAAGACTGAGCAACATAAGGATTTCATCCCTCCTTTTGGATGAACCTTCAAGATTGAACCCTTCAAGTCCACAATGGTAGGAACCTAGAGGGCAAAGGTAAGCAAAGAAGTAAGGAGAGCCAGAAAGGGACACCAGGGGACAGTTCTAAACTTAGTCTGAACTAGCAAGTATAGGGAGGCTTCGCAGGAAATTTTGCAGTAAAAGTATGAGTCCTAACATGAGGATGTGGCTGATAGGAGTATCTATTTCTACTCCCCCTTAGCTGAACTTAGAAGTCTAGCTGCAGCTCCTGTCAAGACACCCTCCCTGACACCAAGGATGCTAGAGTCCACTCCTCCCCGTCCTCCTTAGTATTTCTGTTCACTTCTCATCTCCTAGCGCCTGTCATTAATTATTAACCTACTATGTCTGTCTAGCTCTATCTTTCTTTCTGTCTATCTGTGACTTCCAGACTGGATTTTTTTTTTTTTTTTTTTTTGGTACCAGGGATTGAACTCAGGACCTTGCGCTTACAAGGCAGGCAACAGAACCACTGAGCTAAATCCCCAGCCCACAGACTGGATGTTCTTAATGGTAGAGCCTGTCTTGAAGGACTTTTATAGCCTTTCAGCACCCTTTCCATTGTTTTTTATAGGAATATTTTATTCTTGTCATTGCTATCTTTATTTCACTTAGTGAGAATTAAAGGAAGAGCAGGTAGTCATTATGGGAATATGGCCCTGGGATTCCAAAAGTCTAGGTGGCCCAAAGCCCTCTCCACCTAGAAGAGTGACAGCCATTCAGATCAAAGCTGTAAAAGCTTGGGTTAAAAGAGGAAAATACTTCAAAGCACTACTGTTCACCCATATCTCCACACTAGTTTTATTGAAGGGCTGTCACATGTTGAAGGACTGTCACGTGCCAAAGAAATGTCTGATTAAAAAAAAAAAGAAATGTCTGATAAGTTTATAAAGTTGTGTCCTAAAGAGAGGGCAATGGGGGCCATGGATTTAGCTCAGTGGTTCTGTCGCTTGCCTAGCAAGCGCAAGGACCCGAGTTCGATCCCTGGTACCAAAAAAAATTTAAAAAAACAAAGAGAGGGCAATGGACAAACTCAGCATAGAGCAGTATGGAAGGGGGCCTCTGGGAGGATCTTGGGAACCAGGTGGCTGTAACTGGAGGACACTGTGTCCCTGGAAGACTGGGTAAGAAAAAGCGAACAGAAAATTCCAACAGAGAATGAGAGGAGACCAGAGCAGGTCAGGTCACCAAACTAGAGGTGAGCCCTCTTTAAACCAGTTTAATAGCAAACATTTAAAAACAGACTCAGTTCCTGAAGCTGAAAAAATCAGCTAATTCTCAACATTGGAAAACAATGAACATGTTATTTCAAACATATGAATTAAAGAGGTATGTGCTGTGATCACAAAATATGGTGAATGTTTAAATGAAAATTTTTAAATTTATTATAGAACAAGACATACTGTCATTGCCAGGGATTTAGCTCAGTGGCACTGCACCTACCTTGCAAGCACAAGGTCCTGAGTTCAATCCCCAGTACCAAAAAAAAAAGAAAGACATATTGTCATTAACCACCCTCCAAATACTGTACTCCACTTCACTTCAGATACACTTTTCCCATCATTCTTGCCACTTTCGGAAGCAGTTCCAGAAGTACTCTTTCATGAAACGTCTTTGTATGGCTGCCTCAATGTGTAAATTCTGTCAAAACACACTACGATGTGTCTTAATCTACCTTATTCACAGGATTTCACATTGTGCGACTGGTGGCTCTTCCACAAAAATCAAAATGACCGTGAAAGGCAAACACTTTGAATCAGTTCAGAACATTGAAGCAGCTACAAATAGCACAACTAAAGACATTCATGAACGAGGACTTCCAGAACTGCTTCAGAAAATGGAAAAATACATCCATAAACAAATCAATGGAGTACACAATAGAGTAACACTCAACCATAAAGAAGAATAAATTTGAGTCATTTGTAGGAAAATGGATGTACCTTAAGATCATGTTAAATGAAATAAATCAGGCATATAATCTTAAATATTACATTATTTCTCTTATAAGAAACCCAAAATATAAATAATTTAAAGAGCAGGCCAGGGATTTATCTCAGTGTTTTCAACGCCTGCTGTGCAAGCGCAAAGACCGGAGTTCGATCCCCAGTACTAAAAAAAAAAAGAAAAAAAAAAAAATCACCTCTCAGGCTTTGCTTCCAGGAAACTGACCCATAGTAGCTCCTGTCCTCTTCGTATATCCTGATCTGTTTGGGCCGGGGATTTAGCTCAGTGGTTCCAGTGCCTGCCTCGCAAGCACAAGGTCCTGAGTTTGATCCCTGGTACAAACAAATAATAATAATAATAATAATAATAATAATAAA